ACCGCTAGTACGATAAAGAGGTAACCCTAATCTCCCAATGACAGCAGCCAGAGGATTCTCTTTACAAACACCATGCAACCTGACACAAAAAAAAAGCTGACTGTTAGCATCCATGACAAAATATCCAAAACATGGAACAATGAGAAAGAAAGAGTCATGATTGTTTACCAAGATGCACCCAAATCAACAGGAAAACCGAAAGAGTAATCAGTATGAACTCGTCCACCAATTCTATCACGAGACTCCAATAACACAACCTGAAAACGAAACAAGAAGACATGCGTAATAAGCACTTATATTTTCCCTCCTCCTCACAACATTGTAAGCTTAAGATTGCATTGCATTACGAACCTGAAAGGAAGCATCTTGAAGAGTACGAGCAGCTGCAATACCAGCCATACCAGCTCCAATAACAATTACTGAAGGTGTTCTCTTCTTCATCCTCTCCGCAGCAGTTGAAACTGAAGTAGCTGAAAACACAAAACACATATGCAACAGTTCAGTGCCTATAAGAAGCTTAAACCCTTGAAAACAAAAATCTTACAGAACACCTCAGGGGCTAAAGAGGCTTAAACCCATTGACAAATTTTCTTACAGAACACAACAGGCTTAAGCCTAAAACAAAAGCTAAATTCTTCACATGCACGAGAACTAATACTTCACCCACAGACACGAAAAAGATGATAAAGGATCTACCTTTATTGAGCTGAGGATCAGATTTGCCTTCGGACGCCATGAATCAAACAATGCTCAGCGATTTAATTACTACTACTAATACGCGACAAAGGATCTAACGACTTCTGCTCGAAAAGAAGGAGCGAAATTGGCAATTGAGGAGAAACACTAAGGATTGAGATCAGACGATACGTCGTCGTATTGTAGTAGCTTGAAATCGAAGAAGATGCAAAACTCTGTCTTCCAAACAATTTCATGCGATTCCGAGTTTATATAGAGATCCGACGACGATCAGATTCGAATTGCGTGATAGAAGCAGACAATGAGGCAATCTCAGAAGAACACAGAAAGAGAGAGAGAGACAGGTTAACTAGTTGCAGCTTTTTATTTATTACTTTATTTATTTTTGTTTGGTTGATATTACTGAGGTGGAGAATGATTACTGGTTCGATTATTTAATCTCTTATTTTATACGTTTTTCTCTTAACTTTAATTTTGTGAATAAGATAGACTCATACACGCTCGAGTATATATGTAGGATAAACTCGCTCTGGTTATAAGACACGTGTCACGATAAGAGCATAAAGTCGGTGTTTTACACCGGCCAGACAACTTGCGGGGAACTGAAAAGCGAGTTGGTTAAAGACGTACGAATCGTAACGGAGTAACCCACGTTAGCGGTTTCGGTTTTCTTTATCGCGTTTGCGTTGGGAAGCGCTTTAGAGTATCATTCTAGGCCCAACTCAGCCTTAAGCCTTTGAGATTCATCAACTAAATATAACACAGAACTGATACATGTCTCCCCTTGTGTTCTCAACACTTAAACTGATGTGATTAAACTGTTTCATTAAGCTGTACGTAAGACTACCTCTACCTTAGTAGATTTGTATAACACATTTCTTAAATTTAAAACTCATATTCATGCCTCCGAAAATAGTAAATCATCATTGTAACAATAGTAACAAATTGCCACGTTGGCTTATTTTACCCATCAGTTGACTTTACAGTCCCAACGGAGACAGACAAATCTCAACATGTCCAATTGTCCATTGGTTGTTGCACCGGCCACATTTAATTGAAGCACGATACGTCAAATATCAAACATAAAGTGGATTCTTTTTTTTTTTTATGGGACAACAAGTGCATTCTTATGAATAAATGACCAAGAGATCTTTGTTTTTAATTTCTTTATTTCTTTGATTTTTTTTTTTTAACAACATCTTTATTTCTTTGATTATACCCGTTGTAATAAGGAATTAGTTTTTTTTTTCTTTTCTTTTGCGGAGGGAATAGATAGTGGAAAATAAAAACATAATTATGACGAAAAACAAAAACAGTTTTCTCTCTCACAACTTTTTAGGCGATTCCCAAAACCACTACCGTCAAACAATTTTTTCTTCCCCGAGATCTCGTGTCCGGCGGCTTTTCCTGTTTATTTTCTTTATAGTTAATCTTAGGTTAGTAATCAAACCAATTCATGTTGAATTGGACATCAAGTTTTTCGATTTGGGAGAAACCAAATCGAGTTTTGTTGCAGTCTCACCATTTGTGGTTATCCTCGCTTCTTCATCGGCGAATATCATGTCTGTTGTTGGTTATATCAGTCATCATCTGGAACAGCACGAAAAGATCAATGGGTTTCCGTCTAATGTTGGGTGTGCATATGTTCTCCCAAGTGGAGTGTTATTATCCGATATCAAAATTTCTGGTCAGAAATTACCGTATCGTTGGACTTCCTTTGCACATGTTTCAAGTTTATATAATCTCTCGAGGATCTCGATTTGAGCACACACAAATTCAACATCAAAAGCCGCCATGGCCAGGAGATATCAAGAGTTTGATCCACTTTCCACAAACTGGGTTGAATGTACTACACATGCTTATTAGATTATATTGTGGGTTCATGTCCGAGACTGCAAGAAGTCAAATGTTATTTCTTTTGTTTCCCCGATCTGTACTTTTTCAAAACACCATGAGTTTGATTGGTACGGTGAAAGAGAAGAATGGTTTGAGGACAATAAGGAGAAATATGCAGATGCCTCTACAACAAAACAACTTGAAGATAGGATTTTATTGGTTTCAAAGCAAAAGAATCTCAAAGCCATGGATAGTTTTAACAAAGCATGTTATCTCCTGCAGCGGGAGTGTTTGGGACGGATCGCCATGTAACAGATGGATCGCTTCCAATGATTGTTTTAGAGAAAAAAACGTTTACTCATAGGAATTGAGAGCCATAAGAAAAATCTTATAAGACCAAGAACGAGATGGAGGAAAACTAGCAAATCAGTCTATCCTACGAATGTGTTAGGGAGCATCGCGTTATTGTTGTCTTTGTTAAATGTTTGTTTTAACAGCATGTTTGTTCTAATTTATCTTTTATGTAATATGTTACATTGATTTGATATCAATAAAGTTAGAAGTTATTTTTTAAAAAAAACATAATTGTACTAGTTCCTATTTCACCATGTAACATCTTGTCTGTAAAATCAATCAGAAAGGGCCCAAACATTACTAGTAGCGGCTTTTACATTCTGAAGATATCTTATTGGGCTTTATCTTAAAGGCCTAGGGCCGAAGAAAAACCCTAAACCCTATAAAGCTGTTTTGAGACCTTTAAGCCGCGGTGGCGGCGATGCAGACAGCCGGATTAGGGGTGGAGCGTGGTAAGGCTAGAAGCGGCGGAGAAGTATGTGGATAAGAAATAAATCAACCTGAGGGGATTCATGATGTCCTTTATTTTATAGTTTTCAATCTGAATTTCAAATCCGCCGCTCGCTTGTTACCTTGCTTCTACCACCGCTTTTCCCGTCGCTCCGATATGCTTCGCCACCGACCTTATGATGATCAGATCTGAAGGTCCAAACAAGTTTCTTTTCATTTCAAATCAAAGTTACTTAGCTGATTATTTCAATAGTTGTCTTTTTTTTTTAGATTCTTGGATTTATGAAATTAATTAACTCATTCACACGACTTTGACCTTTTCATGTTTTTATTCTTTAAAAAAAAAAATGTTTTCGTTGGTAGCAATAAAAAGAAGCATGTGTGTAATTTGAAACATGCATGAATTTCATACAGTACAAAATCCAGAATGCGGATTGATAAGAAAGTCAAAATCAGATTATGTTGTTGTGTTTAATTTTATCTTTGTTTGTATTGACTTGGAACAGTGCTACAATGAAAATTAGAAAACTTTTCAACTTCTATTTTCGTACGTTTCTGGAGATGTTGGATGTTTTTATAATAAGTATAGTTATATGTAAGTTATGATCAGTAATTAGCCGAATTATTAAGCATATAGAACGTAATTTGTTTTCATAATAATACTTATAGTGATTATCATTTTAACTTTAGTTTATGCTCACGATTTGTTATCATACATACTAGGGTAATTTTTGTTTTCAATTAATTAAATTATTGTAAGTAAACATATATTTGGTTGGTCAAAGTCAAAGGGCTTCAAAGAGATTAACGTAAACGACTCGTCTCTTTTAGTCAAGTCGTTTAACTACACAAAACTCGACCTAATTTAAGTTGATATCAAATTGAATAGTATGGTTGTAAGTTATAACCGGTCAACTTTAACGTCTTTGCTTGATACTATAATAAGGTTATTCCACACTTAAGAGTCTAATACGTTATTTGCTAACTATATTATAGTGTCACGAGGTCTATTTTTATTATAACATGCGTCACAAAAAAGGTATAGTAGATCAATAGTTGATAAGTAGCGAGTAACGACTTTTTCTTCTGAAAGATAATCTAATACTAGTTTGGTTTGGCGGTCAAAACTAGTAGTATATGTCAATAGATTTGTTATTAATAAATTTAATATGTAAATTCAAACCTCTGCTTTTTAATGTTGGATTTTTGATTAGTAGGTAAAGATTTTGAATGATGTCCTAATATCCCTAATAAAATTCTGTTTAGTGACGAATAAAATATAATATAATTTTAGTGGGTTTAGGTTTTCTTTCTCAGACATTATTTTATTATTATGATTTGAGTTTTTGTATAGCATATGATAAACGGACTAAATTCTACATTGCCCTACTCACTACCATCTTCATTCTATTTTAACCCATCTTAAATTTGATTTTTTTTTTTTTTTGCTCAAAGTCTAAGTATGGTTATAAAATCAACAATCCTTAATGAATCAGTATTATGTGTAATATGAATTACTAGAAACTACTTTGAATTACTATGAATTACTAGAAACTACTTTAAATTACTAGAATACTATTATGAACAAAAAACAAACTACCTTGAATTACTAGAAACTACTACGAACAAAAAAAAAAAGTGGGGCAGTGAGAAAAATGGTGGGGTAGTTAGAATAGTTATTTTTCAACTGGGGTATATTAGAATACTTTCCATGATAAACCGAGTTTGTAGAACCATTCCACAAACTCACTTCATTGTAATTCTTACCGTTCTTCCTGCCCTTCTATGTTTGGTCTCAAATATGAAACCGCGTGAAGAAGAAGAAGACTTTGGTCAACAATTATCAACTAGTATTATTTTATTTTCAGTAATCTGACTTCACCAGATCCTTACTGTTCTTTGTACTTCATCTCTCTCCTCTCTCTAAGCTCATTCTCTGTTCTATTCCTTCATAGTCAAATTCTCCCAATCGAAACTCTAAAATCTCCCCCAAAACTTTCTTTTTTTTTTATCAAAAAGAACAACTTTTTACATCTGCACTTTTTTTTTTTCATTTTCACGACGATTCCGACCTTGATCGTTGTCTGAGATTTCACTTATTTTACTTTCTCAGACACATCTCCTAATGTTGTCCAGGCAAAGTTTCATTCTTTGTCTCATTTTCTTCTTCTTCACAGCATTTTCCGGCGACTCTAGAGCTCTCGCCGGAACCAATGAACAGAAAAACATCTCTGGCTTTTCCGGGTTTGACTTCCCGAACCCGATGCGCTTCGGTTCTGTTTCTTCTTCCACAAGCGACGACTGTGGTTTCACTTCCCCGGAGAAGAAACCCACCAAGGAAACCACAAGAGAAAACAAGACGGTGAAGTTTCACTTAAAGCGCCGACAAGCAACGACCAAACAAGAAACAAATCCAGTTCTTGACCTCCAAATCAAAGATCTCACAAGAATCCAGATGCTTCACATCAGAGTCTTGGAGAAGAAGAACCAGAACTCTCTCTCCAAACCTCACAAACATAACAAAAACAAGAAGAAGGAGAAAGCTGTTACCTCTCCGGTGGTGGAGGAGGAGAAACCTGGTCAACTCGTGGCTACACTTGAGTCCGGTATGTCTCTCGGTTCAGGCGAGTACTTCATGGACGTGTTAGTCGGTTCACCACCAAAACACTTCTCTTTGATCCTCGACACAGGAAGCGACCTAAACTGGATCCAATGCTTACCTTGCTACGACTGTTTCCAACAAAACGGTGCGTTTTACGACCCTACATCCTCCACCTCTTTCAAGAACATAACTTGTAACGACCCAAGATGTAACCTAGTCTCGTCACCTGATCCTCCAACGCCCTGTAAATCAGAGAATCAACCGTGTCCTTATTATTATTGGTACGGAGACAACTCCAACACTACTGGAGACTTCGCTGTCGAGACTTTCACCGTTAATCTCACTAATAGTGGAGGGAGCTCGGAGTTGTATAGCGTGGAAGACATGATGTTTGGTTGTGGTCATTGGAATAGAGGTCTCTTCCATGGTGCTGCAGGGTTGCTTGGTTTGGGAAGAGGTCCTCTTTCTTTCTCATCTCAGCTTCAGTCTCTGTATGGACACTCCTTTTCATACTGCCTTGTGGATAGAAACAGCGACACAAACGTTAGTAGCAAGTTGATTTTCGGAGAAGACAAGGATCTGTTAAGACACCCGAATCTAAACTTCACTTCCTTTGTCGCGGCCAAAGAAAATTTAGTTGAAACATTCTACTACGTACAGATCAAATCCATTCTTGTCGCGGGCCACGCGGTGAACATACCTGAAGAGACATGGAGCATCTCATCAGACGGTGGTGGAGGAACCATCATTGATTCAGGTACAACGTTGAGTTACTTCGCTGAGCCAGCTTATGAACTCATCAAGAACAAGATTGCTGAGGAAGTGAAAGGGAAGTTCCCTGTGTACAGAGACTTGGCGGTTCTAGACCCTTGCTTCAACGTCTCTGGTGTAGATAATGTTCAGCTTCCTGAGCTTGGGATTGAGTTTGCAGACGGTGCGGTTTGGAACTTTCCTACAGAGAACTCTTTTATTTGGTTGACTGATGATTTGGTCTGCTTGGCGATTCTTGGAACTCCAAAGTCAGCGTTTTCCATCATTGGAAACTATCAGCAGCAGAATTTTCATGTACTCTATGATACCAAGAGGTCCAGGCTTGGGTTTGCACCCACAAAGTGTGCAGATGTATAGTAAACCTTCTTGTTTATGTATGCAGCAACTGTACACAAGAAAGGTAGCAACAAGGTGGAACAGATTCTTTTTCTCTTTTGATATTTTTTTCATTCTTTAGGATAATAATTCCTTTTCTTTCAATAATGTATTGCTGTAGAACAAAGTTCATATCAAACTAATGTACTGATTGATTCAACACTCAATTTTCTGAATACAAGTGTGTTTAATGTTTGCTTGCTTGCTTGCTATGTGCTTTCTATAGTCTAATAACATCTATGGGAAGATAAGAACCAGAGATAACCTCCTCTGCAAATCAGCAAAGGCCTGTAGGACTCCTGAAATGGAATAAGGACAAAAATTTGGTAGAATCTTCTATATTATTAAAACTGAAGTACATTTGAGAAGTACATTTAGAGTTGTTTGGGAACAAAGATAACATCTAATAAAAAGAATATATTGTTGTTTGGTAACATGAATTGCAGTATATTAAAAACAAAATGGGCTTAGTTATTAAGAAAATTGAAACTCTTATAATAAATTATCTATTTAGGCCAGCTTTAGAATATATGCAAATGGATCAATCTAATTACCTAAAATATTTTTTGTTTAAAATAATCATAATACAAATTTTAAACTTTATATACATATTTCAAATCAAAAGAATAATTTAAAACTAAATTATAGAAAATTTTGATTCTAACATATATATATATATATATATATATATATATTTATAAATTGATTTTTACTAAAATATTTTCTAATAACGATTATAAAAAAGTTTTCAATATATATAAGAAAAAAAAAATACAAAGTCCAATTTCAAACACCAATTTATATTGTATTTTTTCTATCTCACATTAAAATTTTAAAATATAATTTATATAATTATTTTTATTAAGATTGTGAATTTGACTCTTTACACATTGGTTCCGTCCTGTTTGACTCACTGCAGAGTGGGTAAAGATCAACATATTTTGAAAAATTTGTGAGGCGAGTGCGGGTTTAGTATATTTTATGCGGAATGGGTATGGATGAGTCGAATTTAAACTGCAGGTACCCGCCAACCCGCAAAATATATTTTTTTAACAGACAATTTTTAAAATGAACTACATGAGCAGGTTGACAAGAGAACTACATCCGTGAAGGCGCACGGGTCAAAATCTAGTTAGTATTACACTAATATGGGTTAGTAATAATGTATAAATTATTAAGTTAAATAGTCACGACCGACTCACGAGTGTTGAGTGTGAAAGCATTAAAACTAGGATAAATCAGAAAGTTGTTTGTTTGTTTTTCTGAATTTTTTCAGATTTAACAAAATATTTAAATTTTGTAAAACATAATTTTTATAAAATAAAATAAATAGTAACAAAACCTTTTATTATAATTAACCATTTTTCTAATCGATAAATTGGATATGAACGAAACAATTTTTATTTTTTTTAAAAAAATTTATCTAGATATTCAAAAAATCAGTCTAAACATCTATTTAAATTTTTTTTATTTTATTTTTGGGAAATTCTCTTAAATAGTTCTCTTTTAAGTTTTTATCACAAAATAGATCTCAAAAATTAAAATGACCAAAATAGCACTTTTTATTTTGAAAATTTTAAGTTTTTTTTTTTTATTTTTTTTAATTTGAAACTCTATCCCCAAAACTCCACTCCTCAATTCTAAATAAAAAAGTTTAGGATTAATTAACCCAAAGGTAAAAATATATATTTAATAAAAAAAATTTTAAGTGCTATTTTGGTCATTTTAATTATTAAGGTCTATATTTGTGACAAAAAAAATTTTAGATTTATTCTAGTCATTTTCTCTTTATTTTTTTTAAAAATATCTAGATAATTATAAATTTTTAAAATCACTACTATATTAAAAGGGCGTAATACTACCACCTCATTAAGCCACGTCGGACAATATATTCTTCCAATAGAATCTGTCTATTTCTCCAACTCAGCAGGTGCATTCCATTCGAGTGGGCTTCAATTGACAGGCTTCAATGGAATTTGTTATGGGCTTCGAATCTCACCAATCTCCAATTGAGAACCCTTCAAGTTATNATCACTACTATATTAAAAGGGCGTAATACTACCACCTCATTAAGCCACGTCGGACAATATATTCTTCCAATAGAATCTGTCTATTTCTCCAACTCAGCAGGTGCATTCCATTCGAGTGGGCTTCAATTGACAGGCTTCAATGGAATTTGTTATGGGCTTCGAATCTCACCAATCTCCAATTGAGAACCCTTCAAGTTATCAAGCCGACGTTGCATCACTTCTCTGTATCTTCTCTTTCTTCACTTTCTTCTTCAACGTTTCATCTTCTCGACCGATCAATCGACACCAGCTCAAGGAACTTGGTTTCTTCATCTCCTTCGTTTCCGACCAAGACACATCTCAAGAACGGTTTCTCTTCTCCTTCCTCTGGTTATTTCTCTTCACCACCTCTCTCTAGAGTTTGGATTCTCTTAGTATAGCTCAAATCTAAATCCTTTATTATTTGAATGAGCCAAATCAGAGGAGCTGACTCAGGAGCTGGTACTTTTCTCTGCTTTTGTCACTAAATCTCTTGATGTCTCTCTTTATTCACTTTTATGGGTTTTTTATCCATGGTTTTAATTTATCACAGTTGTTCATGTGTCTACTTTTTATCCATGATTTTAATTTATCCTGTTCAAATCGTTGTTCATGTGATGTGAGTCAGTGACCAAGTCAGTAATGTAATGTAATGTAATGTAATATTGAGGATTATTGATTGTCTTTGGCAGAGTTTTTCAACTGAAATAGAGTTAAGCTTTGTTACTGTGACGGTGCTTCTTTCACTGGAGATGGACAGGGTGAGGTTTGAATCATTACACTATTGAGTTAATAGAGGCTTTGTTTTTAGTTCTGTAGATTTATTAAACGGAGGATAAAGTTTTTGAGTCTTTGACCGTCATTTATCTTTCACTCACACTCTTATATAATGGGATCAGACATGATGGTCTGTCCAGCTGCAAAGAAGACGATACGACTTGCCAGAAACACATGGAAACACTGTGAGTTTTTTTATTTCATTTAGGTTTTAATCGAGTCTTTGCAGTTTGCACTCAGATATAGATATATCATTAACATGTTTATTATGTGGAACTTTGAGTGATCTCTCTTATAATCTATCTTTTATTTTGATCACTGAGAAGTGCACCCAGCTTCTCGGATGATGCTATAGGAAGAATAGCACATCGTACTAAGGTCCTCGCAGAAGAAGGATGAAACAAGATTTCCCCACAAAGGTTCAAGAACATCTTTAAAACTGTTTTCAATGTTACATGTCAACCATAGTAACCAATTAGCTATTTTCAGAACATGTTTCAGGTTTCCGTTCGACGCCAGAAGTTTACCGGAGAGATTTGTCACAGCGAGACCTTTAGTGACAAGATCGGCAATCACTGGAGAGAGAATTGAAGGTGAAAAAAAAAACTTCAAAAGATCCAACAAGTCTCTGATTTCGTTAGGGATCAAACCTGTGAGATTCACAGATATTCTGATGAATTTTTCAGTAACAGAACTTGAATGTCCATGACATGGAGTTGTATCTACGAGAATTGTCCTTGAATTGCATCATTTTCAAGGATATATGTCTCTACAATTTTCCTGAAAGGTAAAGCCTCTCCGGAAATGTTTACCTGGGTTTTCCATGAGAGGAGAATCTGACCACCTTTATTTATATGGTGAAACATGAGATGGAAAGAAAGCAGAAAAGTTAAGAAAAGGAATAAGAAAGAACATGAAATCTGTGTTATGTGATCTGGAGAGAAGAGCTTAGAGTATCTCCCCCTTCTCAGATCACCACCACCACCATGAAACACAGAACGTGATGGAGTGGTCATGTTCATGTAAGCCAATGATGGTTCTGGTCTCAACGTTTCAATAGAGACTCTCCTTCTCGGCTGGAGTGTTTTATTATTACTACCTGATGCAATGGCTAACGAAGGAGGAGCTGGTCTGAATGCAGTGGAGCTTCTACTTGGTTTCATTAGTGTGTTTATGTCCATGGAACTTCTTCTTCTGTTATTATTATTATTGTTATTCTGGTGAATGTGCTATTGCATCTTCTGCGACGAATATGCACCACAACCACCAACTGATGACAACTGATATGTTTGGATCTTTTGTTACGTTCTTGGTATTTTGCATAAGTTTTATACTCATGATTTGAGTAACACGAATGTGAGATAGTCTAAGTAGTAATATAGTAAACAAAATAATCATCAATCATCAGGAAATAATTGTTGTTGTAATCCATTTTATATAAAAAAAATAATAATAAATCATGTGTTTATCTAAAATTAAGTTCATATATTTCTTCAGTTTCGGTATATACTACTATCCCAAATTTGTTTTAGTATAAATTACACAAATGATAGTCTAAAGTTTTTTCCCTTTTTTATTAATATTCACTTTACGACTCATAGTTAGTCTGCAAATATTATTCTTAGCGTAAAATGTTTTGTTTCATTGGCAATTTTCGTAAGCGATCTAGCTTACAAGTTACATATGTAATTGAGATTAAGAAATTTGTGTTATGAGAAGAGAGCAAATATTCCGCCAGTTGTCATACGACTCTTTATCTTCCAAACAAACAATATAACCCAATTGTCATCATAAGTATTGTTAGTAATTTAACTTAAAATTAAATTAAATTTATAATTATGTTGGACCAGTGTGACCATTGACCTAACTGTAATGTCAATTAAATGTTTGGTTTGGTATTCAAAACATTGATGGCAAAGATAAATTAATACCATCCAATTTATAAATAAACTAGGTGTTTTGCCCGCACATGCGGGCATAATTTTCGTACAATTTATTATTATTTTATATTTTATTAATTCAAACTAATATAATAAGTTATGATTTATGTTTTAAAATCAATTATAAATGACAACACTCAGATAAAAAATATTTTTTAAAAATATATTTTTACAAATGTGTTGCTTTAATTTATTTTACTTATAATTATTTCTAACTTATTTTTTTTATTTCTATAATAAAATATATATTTTCAAGATAACAATATAATACATAAGAAGTATCTTATTTTCTCAAAATATAATTTTTAATATGAATTCGTTTTTATTTTATAATAAATTTTATATGAAATTATTAAAAATATTACAAATAATCAAAATTATCTAAATCATGGAGAAATTAGAAATCAGATAATTCACTTAAATTTTCTAATAGAAAATATATGTTCAAGATAACAATCTAATACATAAGAATTTTCTTATTTTAAAAATCTATTATTATTAGTATACATTCATTTTATTATTTAATAAATTATATATGAAATTATTAAAATATGATAAATAAGCAAAATATAAAACCCTGGAGAAGTTGATAAATCAGCATTGCTTTCTTTATATTTAACTATTAATATTTTAACTTAATTTTTAATGTCTATGATAAAAAAAATATATTTTAATGATAAAAATATAATACATAAGAATTATCTTATTATCTAAAAGTATAATATTATTAATAGAAATTCGTTTGATTATATGATAAATTATTCATAAAATTATTAAATTATAACAAATAAGCAAAATTACAAATCATGGAGAAGTTACAAATCAATCAGTTAATTCAATTGAATTTTATAATAGAAAAATATATAATTTAATAAAAAACACCAACATATTTTCTAAAATATAATATTATTAATATAAATTCGTTTTTATTAAATAATAAATAGTATATGAAATTATTTAAATAGTCTAAATAAACAAATTTACCTAAAATCAAGGAGAAGTTGACAAGTAAGCAAATTTACTTATTATTTAATACAAAACAATCAACATATTTTCTAAAATATAATATTATTAATAGAAATTTGTTTTTATTAAATAATAAATTGTATATGAAATTATTTAAATAAGGTAAATAAACAAACTTACCTAAAATCAAGGAGAAGTTGACAACTAAGCAAATTTACTTCTTATATAATATTTTAGATATAATAGTTTAGATATAATAAATAAACATTATTCCTAACAACTAAATATATACAATCTTAAATTTATATTATATCATTTTGAATGTAAATAAAAGTAAATTCATTTTATATACTTAATTTTCAGATTTTGATATTGATTATTTTTTACCAACATTTTCAAGATAGAGAATATAAAACTACATATTAAAATTTTACACTAATTATTATGTAAGTTATTTATACCAAAATTTAAATGAGATTCTGTAAAAAAAACACTAGAAAATCTATATTTTATATAAAAAAAAATTGTTCATTATTAGAATTACTTATGAAACTCTTACTTGCATTAACTACAATGATTTTGTCAATCGTTATTTTTTCTATTTAAATTAACATTCTATTTCTTCTGTTTTTAATTATAAGTTTAATTATACAATATATCATATATATATATATATATATATAGATAATATGATTACAAAATTCGTATAAGAGAGTAGCCGCGCGTAGCGCGGCCAAAAGATCTAGTANAAACTCTTACTTGCATTAACTACAATGATTTTGTCAATCGTTATTTTTTCTATTTAAATTAACATTCTATTTCTTCTGTTTTTAATTATAAGTTTAATTATACAATATATCATATATATATATATATATATATAGATAATATGATTACAAAATTCGTATAAGAGAGTAGCCGCGCGTAGCGCGGCCAAAAGATCTAGTACTTTATAATTTGCCTAATCACCGGCTAACGAATTATAGGATAAGTGTGAATAAAAAGAGTCTCAATCTCATGATAAAAAGAGAGTCAGAATATAAATTTATTTCTTATAGCTATTTTCACTAAATTTATAGACAATTAAAATTTCGGAAAAATAATTTGATATATTAAAATAATAATTTTCAGACCAGACCCAACCCATCTCCTACAACTATCTGTCTGTCTCTAGGTGTTCTTCTTTGATCCTCTCTCTCCACAAACCAAAAATCTCGGGGCATTTCGATCTCAGAGAGGATCGGGTAAAGAGAGGATTCAAGATGACGATGACAAGAACGCTTTTCGAATCGAAGACGGACAAATGCTATGCTCCCAGCTTCATCGCCGTCAATATCTCTCTCGCTTTTATCGACGGCGCTCTCGCCTTCATCGCATTCCTTCAGGTTCTTATTCTTCTTCTCATATTCTTGCTTCAGTTTTTGATTTCAAAGGTTTCGCCTTTTTGTTGAATAGGGTGATTCTCTCTAGTCTTTAGAGATGTGTCTGTTGTTGTTGTGGTTGACCTTTTAAGTTTCAGGTCAACTCTTTGAGTAAGAACTAACGGATGAGAGAGAGAGAGAGAGTTGATTCATGGAATCTGAATCTGATACGAATTATATCAGTAGAAAGTAGAACCCTTTCTTTCCAAAAAAGTGTTGTTGAGTGTAATAGATTAAGGTTTTTTTTGTTCATTGTTTCTATGTAATGAAAAAGTCTTATTCTTTCTATGTTTTTTTTTCTGTTGGTTTTGGGCTTATAAAGATTTATCTTGGCTGCCAACGTCTTCTTTGATTTCAGTTAAGTCGGTTTCACAGGCGGGATAAACGAGCTGGATGGACACGGCAGAAAGTAAAGCCTTCTTGTCCTTACTGTTTGTTATTAATCTCAGTTTAGGCTCTATTTCTTGCTACTTGATGTAACACACATCCATCAATGGATATATGCAGGTTCTTCATCTTATGATTGGCTCCTCAAACACCGGTATGTCCTTGGCACATTGTTCAACAGAGATATGGAGACTGTGAATAAGACCTCTACTTTGTCTGTTTGCAGGTTCTCTTGTTTATTTTGTGGCTGCTATTATAGCAACTTGCACAAGGTGGCATCATTGGTCCAACGCATTTGGTTTTCTGCTTATGGGTAAAACAACATTATATTCTCTTGTTATCAACATTGATTTCTTCTTTTAGTAAATATAGTCCTTGATGTATAGCATTGAACTACTTGCAGCCTTTCCCAAGATTCTGTTTCTTGCAACTTTTCTCCTGCTTCTCTCTTTCTGGTACGTATATTTTTCAATACTTTCCAAGTAAAATCTGGTTGTGTTATGTAAACTTGCTTACAGATAAGACAGAGATACTTTTTAATGTTATATAGGGTAGATGTTTGCCATCAGGGAAATGGCGAGGAGGAGGATGATGATGATGAAGAAAGTAGCATCCAGCAAGTGTTGCTGGAGAAAAGCAAGAGCAAACCAAGTTCTTCCAGTGCAAGTGATCGCAGAAAGTGTTGCTCTTTCACTGGGATTCATGTCGGGACCCGACAGAAGTTTGTTGTTGCAGTATGTAATAGATTTCCTTGTTTGAAGTTCACTACTAGCCAAACTATTTCTGTGATCTGTACAAATTATCTTATCTTTTTTTTTTTCTGCTAGGCGGTTGTTCTTGTGTTCATCTTAATGATATCATTTGCAATCCTTATCTGGATTGCTTCCGGAGATAATTCTGCAGATCCTTCATTATTGGCTGAGGTAATGTGCTACAACAATCACACGCTGCTTACTTATAAAAGTTCTTGGTCTTCTTATAAATTAACTTCTTGTGTACTGTGTAGGTGTATGTAGATATTTTTGCTTCAATACTCCTAATCACAGGAGGAGGACTATGTTTCTATGGTGAGTGATTACTTCATTTCTTTTCTGGTTTGAGAGCTATTCAACGTTTTATTGCTGTGATCTTATTTATCTTGCCATAATGGTTTAGTAGCAGAACTTTACAAACTTGTTTACGGTCTTTCGTGTTCTTTAGGCATGCGTCTGTTCTTTAACCTAAGGAAGGTCCGGTCTGAGCAAGTTTCAGCAGAGATGCGAAAGGTAACTAATGATGCTTATTGGCTTCCAAAGTTTTAATTTCTTGCGGATATCAGTCCCATCCTTACACTATATTTAACCATTTTATAGGTATCCGGTTTAGCAGGCGTCTCAGTTGTATGCTTCACCGTGAGTTCTGTAATCGCTCTTCTCACACACATTCCGGTAAGACCAGAAGTATATCTGTAAACCTAAAACTAACATTTGTCAATATGGTTAACCAAAAACAACTTCTGATCTCAGCTCTTTTATCATTGGAACCCAAGCAAATTACACGGCGTCAAGGCATTGGTTCTCCTGATCATATACTATTTCATAGGTAAAAGTTAACATCATTTAATCATCCTTTTTGCCGTTCTCTATGATCTCAAATGTAGTAATATTGATAAGAACTCCTTCTTTTGACAGGTTCGACTTTACCACTGGCTTTCGTTTTATGGGTTTTGCGGGAGTTACCCCCTCAGAACATTGTGAGTAGACAAGAAGAACAAACAAGAATCACTTATGTCAACTATGATACTGTTGCAAGGCAGCCTCAGCAGTGGACCTCCACAACCGTTTCGAAAAATCAGGTACACGCCTCTCTTCGTCAACATTTGAATTACAATCATTTCAGGCTCAGTAAAGGAGTTTTGTGATAAGCTGTGACTTTTTATCTAGGGAGGCCAGCAACATGCTTTTTGTTTCTTGGTTTGTTAACCACCGCATACATTAGATAAACTAGGGTGGATATATAAACCGAACCAAACTAAAATATTCAAACATAGCCAACACCAAACTTAGTGTAAAGTAAACAACCAACAAAATCATATCTTAAGTAGATATAGTTTTAGTTAGAGAGGTCAGTTCACATGTGTTTTTTTTGGACTCGGTGGTGCAGGTTTCTAAGGCAAGTCCAATATGAACTCAAATAAACGTCATAGCGATAGCCTGAAGCTAATATCTGCCAACGTTCTTCTCTTTGCACCGGGAAAAAACCTTGTTGAGTTGCGAGTTGCCTGAATATGGTGTTGTGCTGGAGTGAAACTAAAGTTGAAGACAAGAGTGTGTTTATAAAAGATAGAATACAGGTTGATTCCGAGAAAGCTCTGTAAATATTCTTCTTTGTTTACAGTTTTTTCCTTATAGTTTTAGTTGCATGATGTGTTGAGGGACTTGTGGATATACATTAAGTGATATGTTCTTACTTCTTAGTAACCTACTGAAACAGTCTCATATAACTGCTTTCTTTATCGGTTTAAGTATAGCGATTTTCTTATAAAGCGAGAAAGAAAAAAATGTCATTTTTTGTGTGTTGTCATAAGTCATTCCTGTTTTGTCTTCCCTCCACTGTCACCTTCCTCGCTAAGCAAAAGAATTAAAGAGAGCTTCGTACCAAACCTAAGAGAGAGAAAAAAAGCAAAAGAAAAAAGCGAGGGAAAAAAAGCTAAAAAAGCAGAAACATATATTTAAAATTAAACAATCTGTCGTAAGGAAACTCTTTTTCTCTTTTCTTTATGGATCTCTTTTATCTTTGTGTTTTCTATAAAGTGATTACAAAAGGAGAGATCAATTATCATACTCTTATTACTTTGTTTTCAGTGACATTGTTTGATTTGACCAAGAGGTTTTTGAGTTTGGAGAGGAGAGAGTAGCGTACAGATTGTTCTAACTCACCGTGGCCATGGAAGCTAGTTCAAGTGGAACTGCAGAGTTGCCTCGGTCTCTGTCAAGAAGGGTTGCTCCATCTCGTGCCACCACTATGATGATTGATAGACCAAACGAAGATGCTAGCGCCATGGACAGCGAGCTTGTTCCTTCTTCTCTCGCTTCTATTGCTCCTATTCTCCGTGTTGCTAATGAAATCGAGAAGGATAATCCTCGAGTTGCTTATCTCTGTGAGTCACTCTTTGAGAAGATATGATGAGTCCTCTTGGTTATGTTTATGTTTCTTCATATTGTTTCTACATATAACAAGAAGAGTTCTTGTTTTTCTTTAGCCAGTTTCTATTAAAGGATGTTTGTATAGTCATAGATGGGTTCTTGACAGTATGGTTTGTTTCTGTGTAACACTCTGTTTCATGTTATGTTAGGCCGCTTTCATGCGTTTGAGAAGGCTCATAGGATGGATGCTACGTCAAGTGGACGTGGTGTTCGTCAGTTCAAGACCTATCTGCTACACAGGCTGGAGAAGGTAGAAACATAGGTTCCGACCAATCTTAATCAACTTTCATTAATGTACAGAAAGACTACATACTTGCTTGGTGAAGGTAATAAGATTTCCACATAACTGATCATTGAGCTTACATGTCTTATAATTTTTGAAGGAAGAAGAGGAAACAAAGCCTCAGCTTGCAAAAAACGATCCTAGAGAGATTCAAGCATACTACCAGAGATTCTATGAGAAATATATCAAAGAAGGAGAAACATCAAGAAAACCGTGAGTGCAGACAAAGATTTATAAGCTAAGCTTGGTTGTATTAACCCCTGGTCTTATGTTCTTGGTCTTTGATTGTTTACTACAGAGAAGAGATGGCCAGGCTTTATCAAATCGCCTCGGTGTTGTATGATGTACTGAAGACTGTTGTGCCTTCTCCAAAAGTGGACTATGAGGTTCGGTTTATATAAGATAAAGATAGCTCTGTGTGAAGCTTTATTTTTCTTATGCTTGTTTCATTTTTTTTCTGTTACTTTAGACTCGTAGATATGCAGAAGAAGTTGAAAGGAAGAGGGATAGATATGAGCACTACAACATTCTTCCTTTGTATGCTGTTGGGACTAAACCAGCTATTGTGGAACTCCCTGAGGTGTGTTTGGTTTGATTACATAGTTGAAATCACTCGAGTAGTATGTTAATGTTTGCACTTGTCATGTTATGTACTGTGACAAAAAATAGGTCAAGGCTGCATTCAGGGCGGTTCGTAATGTGCGCAATCTACCTAAGAGAAGAGTTCATTTGCCATCTAATGCACCTGATGAAATTCGCAAGGCTAGAACTAGACGTTTCAATGACATACTTGAATGGCTTGCGTCTGAGTTTGGGTTTCAGGTAATGTTCTACTTAACTTCTGTTTTGTATAACTTAGTGTTGTTACTTGTTATGATGATTTGCTAACTTCTATTTGTTTCTTTCACTTAATATGGTGATTATAGAGAGGGAGTGTGGCTAATCAGAGGGAGCATATAATACTGCTTCTTGCTAATGCTGATATTAGAAACAGAACTGATGAAGAATATGATGGGGTGAGCATTGTTGTAGAGTGTGTTACACATCTTTTTGTTACTCTTTATGGTTAGTAATGCTGTAAGTTTTCTTGCAGTTGAAACCTAGCACAGTCGCCGAGTTGATGAACAAAACGTTTAAAAACTATGACTCATGGTGTAGATATTTGCACCGTGAGCCCAATCTCAGGTATATTATGTTGCTGATCAAGATTGTGTGATAAGTTCCAATATATTTATATGATTTTTCCCTTTATGTTCTGTCCTTTGGTCACATATCTGATGTTATTTATGCTTTGGTTCTTAAGGTTTCCACAAGATTGTGATGTACAGCAGCTGCAGCTTATCTATATTTCACTGTACCTTCTAATATGGGGTGAAGCCTCAAATGTTAGATTCATGCCTGAATGTATCTGCTATATTTTTCACCATGTAAGTTTTTTTTTATTTTGGATATGCATCTGTTCCATATCTATCTTCAGATTCTGGATGGTTTAAAATGCTCATTTTCTTCTCTGTTTTCTTGATATTGTTTCTAAGATGGCAAATGATGTCTATGGGATTCTGTTTAGCAATGTTGAAGCTGTAAGTGGTGAGGCATATGAAACAGGAGAGATAATTGATGAAGAAACGTTTCTGAGAAACGTTATAACTCCCATCTATCAAGTCATACGCGATGTAAGTATCCCAAGGTCACTCATGTGTTTAGGGAATGGACACTGTCTTTGTACCTAAAAATGATTGTACTTGCCTTGAGAAGGAAGCAAGAAGGAACAAGGGTGGCACAGCAAGCCATTCACAATGGAGAAACTATGATGATTTGAATGAATACTTTTGGTGAGTTGCTTAACTATTTATTTAGACATGACTATTTGATGTGCCTTCTCATTTTCAGCTTCCTTTGTTTATTTAAAGGTCTAGAAAATGCTTCAAGTTAGGATGGCCTCTGGACCTTAATGCAGATTTTTTCCTAAGCTCTGATGAGAGAACCCCACAGAACGAGGTATGTAATTTTATTCTTAAGCACTGTAGTTTAGTTAAGTTTTGGTAGGATATGAGACTTTGTAATTCTGGAAGTTATGTGCCTTTAGTTTAAAGAAGTAGTCTTAAGCTGTGTGTTCTCTTCATATAGTCCTTTGATATATTGATGTAGACACAGTTACATATCCTTACCTTATGGCTCAAGCCAGAAAGCATAAAGATACTACAGAAACATAATCGTGTAGGTTTGATGTATTGCAGAGGCTGAATCAAGTTACTTATGGGAAGAGGAAGCCTAAGACCAACTTTGTTGAAGTCCGCACATTCTGGAACCTCTTCAGAGATTTTGATCGAATGTGGATATTCTTTGTCATGGCTTTTCAGGTAACATTAGTACTTTTTTGTAAAAGAGTTGATATTGGTCTTGAAATCAATTTTGTTTTCAAATTATCAGACTTGTCCTTGTCTTTGTAGGCTATGGTGATAGTTGGATGGAATGGTTCTGGATCTCTGGGTGAAATTTTTGACAAGGATATATTCAAGAAAGTGCTAACCATTTTCATTACTTCAGCATATCTAACTCTGTTACAAGGTTGTGATGATTCCCATAGTAGTTTCTTGTATACCAAGTAAGAACTTTTCTTATTTGATGTTCTAATGGAGTTTCCTTGTACAGCTGCATTGGATATCATCCTTACATTCAATGCCTGGAAGAACTTCAAGTTGTCTCAGATACTGCGTTACCTTCTGAAACTGGCAGTAGCAGCTATGTGGGCTGTTCTGCTCCCAATTGCTTACTCAAAGTCTGTCCAACGCCCAAGTGGAGTTGTGAAGTTCTTCAGCACTTGGACTGGAGATTGGAAGGATAAGTCTTTTTATAACTACGCAGTTTCATTCTACGTGTTACCAAACATATTAGCTGCTTTCTTGTTCCTCTTTCCACCGTTCCGGAGAGTCATGGAGTGTTCAGACATGAGAGTTATCAAGCTTATCATGTGGTGGGCTCAGGCAAGTTTTCTTACTCAAATATAGGTTTTTTCTTTTTTTTGTCATCTCTGTTTCTAATTATGATTTTCCATCTTGTAGCCAAAACTATACGTTGGAAGAGGTATGCATGAGGACATGCTCTCTCTCTTCAAGTGAGTGATCACCACATTACTTGTTACAATTATCTAACTTCATTAAGATGTTTGAACTCTTCTTCTAGCATGTTCCCTATAATATGCGGATTCTAATTATGCTCAGGTATACCTCTTTCTGGATTATGCTCCTGATCAGCAAGCTTTCTTTTAACTATTATGTGGAGGTATGGATTTTTACTCCAATGTAGGCTGTCTAGATACATATGCGAGCTATGAGATTTTCTCTGCTATGTGAGCTTTTTCTATATAGAAGTTTAGTTTCATTTCTTGATATCTTTGTCTAGCTTTTGGCTATGCAGTTCTTAAATGATGTTCTATTTCTACTTTACACTGTGCCATTGCTTAGTCTTCTCTGGAATAGAGTCTTCCTATAATGAGTTCTAAGCATTGATGACTATCATTATATCTTGTAAACAGATACTACCCCTTATTAAGCCAACAAAGATGATAATGAATCTGCACATTCGCAACTACCAGTGGCATGAGTTTTTTCCAAATGGTATGTTTACATGTTATCCTCTTTTTTCTTGTTGCAATGTACATTTATTTCATTACTCTTGCTTTGACTAACTCATGATTTTTATATAGCAAATAACAATGTTGGAGTGGTTATTGCTGTATGGGCTCCAATTGTACTGGTAAGTAGATATAAAAAGAGCTCTCAAGAAAGAAAGAAACATTGTCATGTATGGCTTACTTATATACATGTGTTATATTTCTGAGTAGGTTTACTTGATGGATGCTCAAATATGGTACGCCATTTTCTCCACTCTGTTTGGAGGTATACATGGGGCCTTCAGTCATTTGGGAGAAGTAAGTGATCATGTTTTTTTGTGCACTCTAGTAGATGAGATAGTACCTTTGAAGTAACTTCATTTACTTGTTTAGTTTTATTATTGTTTACTTCTTGACCATGTTTTGGTTTTCATAGATAAGGACTCTT